AGGGGGACTACTATAACAACAGAAATTAGCAACAGCCGTAGACATAATCATGTTTCCAAAATATCCGTGTCTGCCCCTTGGCTGACCAATCCCTAGTGCCATTTTGCCAGCATCAAACCTACTGTCTACTTCTGAGTCCATTGCCTGTCTTGCATCTCAATGTACAAACACCATCATCTCTGAGACAGCTGGTTTTGTAAAAATGCAGGGCACTCTCTGTAGAATGCTCTGGCAATGATGTGTTACACTAAAAATAAAAGCAAACATACAATTTGGAGTTCACTCAAGGACCAGTGTTTATTAGAGTCCAGTATAGAGAAAACCCTTATAGGAGGGGTCAGCTTTTTTGTTCTATTCAGGCCATCAACTAACTGGGTGAAATCCACACACATTAGGGAGGATGATCTGCTTTACTCAGCCTATCAGTTTAAATATTAATCACATCCCAGAATGATGTTTGACTAAACAGCTGGCACACCATGGACTAGTCAAGCTGACACATAAAATTAACCATCATATACAATGAGACTAATGAAGAGATTTAGGCTCATACCTACACCTAAATACAAATACACCCTATTTTTTTATGAAGGTAGCAAAATAGGGCTTATTCCTTCAGTGAGGAAAGGATTTTGAAAAAATGGTGCTGGGACAATGGGGTATCCATATGGAAGCAAAATAAATATAGACACCCACCTTAGACCATTCAATAAAACTGTTACAGGTAGATCACAGAACAAATGGCAAAGGCAAACCAATATACTTTTAGAAGATGGAAGATCTTCATGACCCTGGAGTAGGGAAAACTTTCTTAAATAAGATACGAAGTTATTAACCACAAAAGAAAAGATTGATAAATCTGACTATAATAAAATTTAAAATATCTTCTTTGAGCCCTGACCAGGTGGTTCTGTTGGTTGGAGTGTCATACCATGTACCAAAAAGGTTGCACATTTGATTTCTGATCAGGGATCATACCTAAATTGTGGGTTCAATCCTAGTCGGGATGCATAAGAGAGACAATTGATCAATGTTTCTCTCTCAGGTCGATGTTTCCCTCTCCCTTTTTCTTTCTCTCTCTCTCCCTCTCTCTTCTCTCTCTCTCTCTCTCTCTCTCTCTCTCTCTGTCTCTGTCTCTTACTCTCTCTCCACTTTCCTCTCTCTCTAAAATCAATTTTTAAAAAATCTTCCTTAAAAGAAAATGAGAAAATTTAAACACAAAAACATAAACCATAGTGTGGAAAAAAATAGCTGCAATACATGCAATAAAAATGTACCTATATTCAACACATATAAAGAATTCCTACAGCCCTAACTGGTTTGGCTCAGTGGATAGAGCATTGGCCTACAGACTGAAGGGTCCCAGGTTCGATTCCGGTCAAGGGCATTTACCTTGGTTGCAGGCACATCCTCAGTAGGTGTGCAGGAGGCAGCTAATTGATGTTTCTCTCTCATCGATGTTTCTAACTCTCTATCCCTCTCCCTTCCTCTCTGTAAAAAATGAATAAAATGTATTTTTTTTAAAAAAAGAATTTCTACAAATCAATAATAAAAAGAAAGATATCCAAGTAGAATTAAAAAAAAAAATTAGGGCTGAATATCCCACAGGTAGTAGGAGAACCTCCATGAGCAAGGAAACAGGCTTTTGGATGCAGGATGGAGTGGCATAAGTAGGAGTTCTTCCCCCAAAAGAGAGAGACAGAGAGAGAGAGAGAGAGAGAGAGAGAGAGAGAGAGAGAGAGAGAGAGAGAGAGTCATAGATGCTGGAGAGAGGCATTGATAGGCTGCAAAAAAAAAAAAAATAGGGCTTATTCATTCAGCTAATTTAAATCTCTCCTAAAAAGT